CTGAAGGTGTACAAACACCTGTGTTACAGCCTGTCAATCATCAGTCCACCAGGTAATCACATGAAGCAGTAATCCGCCCGTGCTGTTCCTCATTTTGACTAACTCTGAAGCTCCACGGCAGCACAACTAAATGGGATTGCAGCCTAAAATCACCTGGGACATTCCAACTCCCCCTGTGGGTCATTGATAGCGTAGTTGTTTGAGTACTAACTTATCTGGTAAGCCAGGAGTGGGTGCATGAGATGTGGCTGAACAGCAATATAAATACAAGTGCTGTGTTGATATTTGTGAACTGCTTTTGCAAAAAAAAAAGTTACCTGGTAACTTAAAAGAGAACTATGGGGTAAATGTTTTTCCCACAGTTCTCTTAAGGGTCACGGGAGGAGATATACTAACCTCCTCCCGTGACCCAAAGCTCAGTATACCGCGAGCTACAGCTCGCAGTATACTGAGACCGCCGGAGCCGGGACAGATCCCAACAATACTGTTGAGATCCACCCAGCTGCATTAGTGACAGCGGGCTCTGCCTATCTAGAGGCAGTGCCAGCTGTGCCCTTCACCATCCGTTCCTTCAGTCAGTGCCGAAGGATCGGAGAGGAGATGGGGAAATCCCTGCGGGAGGTGATGACTGACAGTAACGGCTCTCTGCAGGGAGATGATGGAGAAGTGAGTGAGCGACGGCATGCATTTGCTCACTTCCCGATCTATTGAGCCAACTTTTCATTATCACACGACAGTTTCATTATCACACGTCGGCTTGAACTATGAGGAAGAGTGATTTTCACTCACTTCATAGTTCTCCTTTCATTTCCAAGAATCTTCTAGGACAGCACGTCAGAGTGGCGCTGTCCATCTAAAAAGGAAACACAAGACTCACATGGTATAAAATGTTAAACTAGCCTGTCAGCGTTAGTAATATCAAAAGACATGAAGGCCACATACTAAACCTTTTTGACTAGAACATTTGCAGGAAGAACATCCATGAGTGGGAATGCCCTGCTCTCCTGGAAGACTGTTTTCCCTAATCATCTACCTGGAAGCAACTGAGAGGATAAAACAAGAAACCTACTTCGGGGGGGAACCACTGCGTGCAGCACTTTCCTGACAAAGGACTGGTCTTGATTACAGACCAGATCCACTCTGTAGTGTTGAACAAAGGAGTGGAAGCTAGGCCTGGAAGCCGCTCTGCACATTTTTTCTGGATTGACTCCTGTTCTTTGCCCAAGACATTCCCAAAGCCCTTGTAGAGTGTGCTTTAACCTCGATCTAATGGTGTGAAACCTAGGGCTCGGTATGATATCCCAATAGCTTACCGATTCTACCTTGTGATTGTGCACTTTGAACCTCTGGCTTCTTTCTTACAGCTGGTGAAAAATATTTGAAAAAAAAGTTTGTAGGATTTTCTCCAAGGTTTAGTTGTGTCTAGATATGCCAGAATCGCTCTGTGCACATCCAAACAGTGGCATGCAGCAGGGCTGCAACAACTAATCGATGAGAATCGTTGGCAATAAATAAATACTTAAATTAACTACAATAAAAAGACTAAAAAAAGTTAATAAGGAATGCTAACAAACAAAAAAAATAAAAGTTAAACTAAAATTAAAAATAGAAAAAAATTAATATTTGTGTTTTAAATAAAAGTTTGGTTATTTTATTATATTGGCTTAGAATTTACATTATTTTAAATCCATGAAACTGATTAAAATGTCTAATATAATAAATACAATTATAAAAAAAAAAAAAATTTAGGCCATGGTGGTGCTATGAGAACTACTCTTATTTTGTCTGCTATTCATTTCTGAGTTACCTTGGGTATCAGAGAAAAAGGAGAGCAGGACCAAGGCTGGGAGTATGCAACTTGGCCTGGGCTTCTGTCCTTGTCTTCCACAGAAAAAAAAAAAGTGTGTATTGTGTTCTTTTTAATAGCAAAAAGGTTGATGTTGGGGGCACCCCACCTGTCTGCCATCGGAAATATGCTAGTTTAGATCCCATTCAGTCTTACCTCTTCTCCCCTAGGAAATAGACTGTGACCTTAAGATGTACTGCTGAGAGATATAAGAGGTTTACATCTGCATACTGTAGAACAGGGGTGCCTATTAGGTAGATCGCGATCTACCAGTAGATCGCAAAGCGAACACTGGTAGATCGCGATCAGCTCACTTACCTGAGCTCCCTCCCGCGGTGCTATTGCGGCTGAATGTGTCAGACGCCGCACACTCTCCCTGTGTGCAACGTCGGCAGATAGAGATAGGTAGAAACAGGGGAGAGAGCAAGGAGAGAGAGGAGACGGCCAAGAGAGAGGGCCAGTTCGCCCCACAAAGTCTGCGTTCCAGAGTGTTCGGCCTCTGGAACACACAGAAACCCAAGCCGGCTTGCAGCATTTTTGCAGATCGCAGTAGACCAGAATGCAGGCACTAATGTGCCTGTGTTCCAGGTGCATGCGATCGCTCTGCGTGGGGCGTGGCTGCTGCGCCATTGACTTCAATGCACCGCCATGCCCCCTCCCGCCCCTGAATGCAGGTGTTTTTTCATTGGTAGATCACATTTGAGCTCATCATTTGAAAAGTAGATCTCCAGACGAAAAAATTGTGGGCACCCCTGCTGTAGAATCTTTTCTGCCAAGGTCATCAGCTGAGGTGTTTTGGTCCTCCTTGCTCTTTGATATTAGCCACATTGTCCAAAATTATTTTCTTACCCAATCGAAGGGTGCCCATACACTGTGCGAATTTCTGCCGGTTTTTGAGGAACTGGCCGAAATTCGCAGAGTGTGTGTGCTGCTGTCGACACCCTTTCGGTCAGCATCCCTCGATCAGCTGATGGAAGGAGCCGGAAAATCTTCGTACGAGTGATGGAGGAATCTGCTCAATTTTTTTTTTTGTTCAGCCCGTGGGTTGAACGAAAAAAATAATAAAAATAAATAGGAGCAGTGTATGGCCAGCCTACGTCCCATTCTCCCTGGGCGACTGACTGGTCTGAGTGGGCTCCCCATCCCCATGCACTGGTGTCCATTGAGATTTTCACTGGGTGGATGGGATGCCATAACTTTTGGAGGTAGTCAGGAGTGAAACTGGGTCCACTGTACCACGGTCCAGGAGGGTTGCCGTTTTAACTAGGGCTGTGAATCTGGCTCATATATGTAACAACGCCAAAGTGTTTTCCATATCTTCCTGCTTTGGTCAGAACTGGCAGGGACTTCAAGATCTGTTCTACCGGTGTGCCTTACTCAAGATGAGATTTGAGTTGGCCCAACCACATATCTAGAGAGCGAGCTACACAAGTGGTTGTAGTGCGGGTCTAAATTTAGTGCCCCTGTCTCCCAAGTCTATTTTAGAGCCTGCTTTCTTGTCCTTAAATTCCCCCCGTCTTTGGGAGGGAGACTTACCTGATCCCCACTCCTGCAGGTTCTTCTCCTCTACATTCAGAGTCATGCTGACATCACATATATTGCAGGACCCATATCCCTGCATTATATGTGAGAACAGTCCACAAGTCCAGAGCATAGGGGAGATAATGTAAGCGCCGGCCGCCAGGGGAGCAAGGAGCAGGTAAGAAAAAGTCCTTTACACAACCTAGACAAGCAGTTAACCCTTGAAGTGCAGGGGCAGCCCCACTGCAAGGGAAGTTTTTTTTTCTCCGGAGATAGGCTATAAATGGAAAGTCACCTTCTTGAGTGGACACTTCCCCCTCCTGTTACCACTCCCTAGCCATATCTGTAGGCACCCTCACATGCAGCACAGTTGTCTCGAAGCTCAGTAATCCTGTCATTGAATAATTTTAATGAAGTCTGCAATGCTAGAAGACCTCATGTTATGATGACCAACTCATTTTAATACATTCTGAGCCACAGGCCTTGAATAAATGTGTAGATTGGGAAGGTCAGAGAAGTGTCAGAAATGTTTAGTGGCATACATGTTCTAGATCAGGCTCAGAGCCATCCAGTATCTTACAAAAGGAAAAGCATTTTAGTTTACCTTTAAATAATCACAAAAGTGCTGAATAACTGCAAGAGATTGAGATGAGACAGCAGGCGAACTTCCATCCCTAGAGCCACCATTCATTATGAGAGTACAACGATATCTGCCCCCTGCTTCTATTCCTTGATGCCCAGCTCCTTGAACCAGGTGCAATGTTGGGTACAATTCTAGTAAAATACAAAAGCAATAAAAACACGCAAAACTCCAAGCCTCTCCATGTTTTTATTTTGGTCCAAGTATTACAGTAGGCATGAAGCAGTGCACACAGCACAGCTATGTTTCCTTTAGTGATCAAAATTTGTTTACATAAAGATCTATAAAAATTGTAAGTGCACTTTTTGTACCCCATAGAGGGAGCCCATCAATCATTTATGCCTGCTAAGCATTTCTTATAATGCCGTACACAATGAAGGCTTATACTTTTACTTCACAGCTCCTAGTTATGAATGTGGCCCTTTTTGTGGGTTTACAGTAAAATGTACCATCAAAGTTTCTATCCAAGCATAGGGCTTTATTTAAAACCCAGGTCCAGTCACTGAGTCAGCAGGAAAGGGGGCATCTCAAAAACCTGACTCCATCCAGTTTTTGGCTAGAATAGAGCTTTAACAAAGCAATGCAAAGTGCAGTGAGTAACCAAATGTGCATATTGCACAGCCATAATAAATAACCCCATCAGAAATCCAAGTAGTGCAATATTTCTAAACAGTGATTCAGAGGTTACGTGGGAGAAGCTAGGTGAAGGAATCTGCTAAAACAGGTAGAGCTGGAAGCAATACTTTTCTAGGTCTCATAAGCTTATTCTATTAAAAAGGTCTGTTCACATCACATATGAAAAATCATCAGTTCCTTGGCAAACCAAAAATTCCTGAGAGTCTTAAGTTGCATTTCACTGGATTAGATGCAATCACCTATCACCAGTCCTCCAGTGTCCACAGTCACAAGGAATGACTCAAGGCTAAGCCCTATAAAGCTCTCCTGTATTGATGATGTGTAAGAGGGAAAGATTGCACATCACATCCCTACAGTATATACCTTGATACTAGGACAGCCAGGTCTTGCTATTCCTATACTTATCCGCTAATGTCAGTAGCCCTGTTTGCAGCACAAGCAGACTGTGCACGGCCTAATACTGGAATACTGTCTACTGAAGTCTGGCCATGAAGAGACTTCATGCTTGGGACTCTTTGCCAGAAATTGTATCTGCCTTTTGTTCAACGGCTGTTTCTGGCTGGTCCTGGGCGTTTGCTTCAGTGTTCTTCTGTCGCTTGTGTTTGATGATAACCCAGACAGATGCTCCAAGGAACACGACAGCCAGCAATGTAAAGTAGCCAAAATAGAAATAAAACTAGAGAGAGAGAGAGAAAAAAAAGAGCAAGTGTCAAAATGTTCCAGTGCATACATGGTCTATTTTCAAGTGTTATGTGTATCAGCAGAGTGCAGCCAATCAGATAACCTTCTTTCTTTAGCCTGACTAGACCGCTGAAAAGTTATCTGTAAATTGGATGCTTTAGGATACCGGATTCATTCTATTTCCAAAATTACTTAGAGAACTATGGGGTAAGTGTTTTTCCCCATAGTTCTCCTAAGGGTCACGGGAGGACATAAACTAACCTCCTCCCGTGACCCAAAGCACAGTATATCGCGAGCTACAGGTGTCGGGATCTGTCCCGCCGCAGCCGGGATGGATCCCAACATTACTGTCGAGATCCACCCAGCTGCGTGAGGCAAAGCTGCGTGAGGCAGAGCCAGCTGTACCCGCCCCCTCCCCCGTCCGTTCCGCCAGTCAGCGCTGGAGGATCGGAGAGGGAATCCCTACAGGGAGCCATGAGTGACAGTCACTGCTCTCTGCAGGGACATGATCGAGAAGTGAGCGAGCGACGGTATGTGTTCGCTCACTTCCCGATCTACTGAGCCGACCTGTGACAGTTTCATCATCACACGTCGGCTTGAACTATGAGGATGAGTGAAAATCACTCACTTCATAGTTCTCCTTTAATGAAGTGATTTTGCACATTGATCATAAGACTGATTGATTTATAATCATTAGTCTAAGTTATAAGATCAAAAGACCCTTATTGGCGTTATGTATAGCAGCCAGTTTAGTTTAGGGTTTGTTATCCTGCAATGATAAAAAGGCTGAACAGAATCTGACTTGCTCTGGCAGCCAGATTTATTCTCCACTGTGTATTACATAGGTTCTTCATTTGTATTTTTAGTTTAAAGGGTACTTGCTAGTATAGAAATATGTAAGCTGCAACTGACATCTAGTCTTAAAGGTGCAGAGGCTGTAACTCATTCCTTGTTTATCACTTAATAAGTTACTAATCCAGAACAAATCTGCAGGTCAGAAGTCCTTAGTTGATTGGCTGCATTATTGTTTAAGGCCAGTGACTCACTAAGTAGTGAAAAAGTATGGAAGCCCTGGACCTTTCACCTTTAAACACAAACTGGAGTTGGAAATGATACAGCATTAAACAAGGTTTTGAAACAAAGGAGGTTATCGATGACCCTGTTGGCCAATATCACTACACAATTGAAAGCAAACTTCTTGTAAATAGAGAATATGCCGGGACCTTGGTTGTTTGCCTATCTCCATCTGTATCATTTAAGGCGCAAGCGGTATCACTATCTGGTCATGGGGCACAGGATCCTTGAAAATGAGACTTACTTTAGAACATTGTCCTGAACAAGCATAGTGTTGTCTAGAACAAAAAAAATTACATACACACACCAAGCATTGAAAACACCTACAAGAAAGCAGTTCAACTCTGTATAGTAAACTATAGTATGTTACAGGTCAAGATTCTCATCTCATTATTGCTTTCCATGAGAGATAGATAGGATAGGATAGGATAGATAGATAAACACAATATTTCACTTTTGCTAGAAATATTTTACAGTGGCCCAAAGACAAAGCATGACAGAAGGAAGAAGCAAAAGTGTGCTGCCAAAACAGAGAATCACTGGTGATGATATGGCAAGAACTGAGCTCTGTTGGGCTTCCCTAAGGAGTGAACAGCACACGGACAGATTTTGTCACTGCAGAAGTGGCGGGGATAGAAGTTCACATTGATACGGTTGGAGCTAGTGCAGAGCTGGGCTCCGTGTGCCCTGGTGATGGTGGAGGCATGCAAAAGAGGAGGTTGGGTGTTAGGTGCAGTGATGAGAGCGGGGTTAACATACAGGGGTGGTGGTGGGTTAGTAGGCTGGGGGGTCAGCTGTGGCGCTGAGAGCAAGGAGAGGAAATTGGTGTAAATGCACAGTGGTGGTGGGGTTTCAGGCATGGTGCAGAGAAGGGGGGGCACAGGTACAGTGCTGACAGGGAAGGGAGGATGGAGTGTTGCAGGACGATGGCGAGTGGTGCCTCTGTGTGAGCTGTAGGTTGTAGCTCCCCAGATGCTTCACTGCCTCCCTTGCCACTGCATACCCCACCACTGCTCCTTCTGTCTCTGCTCCCCACTTGTCTCCTTTGCAGGGACATGCAGATAGGAGAGTGTTTGGCTCCACTTATTTCCTCTTCCCTCTGGTGGAATCTCCTCCTCACTAGTGCAGCCTTGCAGATGATCTCGTAGAGACTAGAAAGATTTGCTGCACCTGCCAGGAGACCTTTTGTGTGTTCTTGGGGCAAGGGGAAGGAGGTGTACACTTCCTGACTGAGAGAAAGAGCGAAACCAAACACTGAAATGTTATTATAAACTTGCCCACCACCTCCATTACTACAGAATCTATCCAATGTGGAAGTTATCATGTAGACGTCCAACATCCCAATGTATTCTTTTCAAGGTAAGCATTTTATTTAAAATACAAAACCACTATTTATCATCCCTCCCTTCTGAAATATTGAGCCTTCTATATTATTTTGAACATGTAATCTCTATGGGTATGGACCTAAGAGAAAAACTCAAAGTCCATTTTACTTCTTGTATTCTTCTTTACAAGAAGTATAGGAGAACATGTTATTCCCACTGACCAAAGTACTTGTTATATGGAACAAGTTTCTCATTTGCTGGAAACTCTATGTGCAAGAAGGCACCAAGGTTTCCTTCCCTCAAGGGACAAAAAGAGAATTAGTTTATCATAAATACATACGTTGCGTCCACTTCTTGAATGAGCCAGTGAGAGACTTGTGAGGGAGGTCAATAAGTAGGTGAAGAGAGTGCCATAGACCAAATCGAAAGGCGGCACATTGAGGACTAGGCGAAAGGCTTCCTGCACATCATTCTTACAGAGGCATCTGCATATTTATGGCCAGCCCAACACATATATCAAGGTCTTCATATGGAAAGTAGACAATGGTTTACACAATGCCTCTTAGGTAAACTATGTTTTGAGCTACAATCACTTTCATGTTACCTGGGGGTGTATGGAAAGTGCCAAGCCTCTTCTGTCAGCAATCACAAGCGTAATTATAGACTTCAAGATTGTAGCAAAGAACGTGTTCACCCCAAACACCAATGCACAAAGTTCCTTTGACAAAGAGCTTGCAATCTGGAAGCTGAAACAAAATTTGGGATTTACATTAGGACATCCATTAGTAGCAACAACAAAACAGAAAGTCAACTTTTATTACACTCCAACAGACACATGAATGCCACATTTAGCCCTCATTCACACGGGTAACAGCCGGCATGTACAGATCCGTGCCCGGCCGTATCGGGCCGCTCCTGGGAAGGACAGGGGCTGCGTGTGATTTGTACACAGCAGCCTGTGCTTCTCTATGGGAGTACGCGGCCGTACAACGCCCTACGCTCACCCGAACTGTACGTTTGTGCGGGTGTCCGTACTCCTACGCTGACAGGATGGATCCTGTGTGTCCAAGCAGGGACACTGCACCGACGTGCAGTTTGGTTGACCGCAGGGCGGCGTACTCCCATAGAGAAGAAAAGGCTGCTGCGTACAAATCACACGCAGCACCTGTCCTTCCCGGGAGCGGCCCGATACGGCCCCGCACGCAGCACGGATCTGTACGGGCCGGATGTTACGCGCGTGAATGAGAGCTTAAAGTAAACCTGGCAAGAAGGAAATATGAGGGCTGACATTGCTGACCTAAAACTGAATATGCTTCATGAGACACAGGGAAGAGACAGGGAAAAGTCAAAAGTCCTTGTCTGTGCATACAAATCCCAGGTCACTGACTCAAAGCCAGGAATATTTCTAGAAGCAGAGATCAGCAATGGCAGTCTCCATGCGTCTTGAAATGATGGTATAAAGCAAATGTTTTTTCTTAAAAAGTGTATTTCCAAATTTGGATAACACCTATTTTATATTTGTTACATCTTCACATTCACATAACTTACCATAAAATATTTCAAAATGGTTGCTTACATTTTTAAGTGCTCTTTACATGCTTATAAAATCATAACTAGTCCCCCATGTAATGTTAAGAAGGGGGCTGTGGAAAGTTATGTTTACTGTCATCTTGTCTGTTCTGTGCTGGCAGATTTCATTATCAGTTGTAAAGTAGATTTGAATAGGGTTTGTCCTAACAAAGGGTTAAAGCATTGTATGCTAATGAGTTGAAGCTCAGTCTGTCCCCTCAGTTTGTCCCTCTACTTTCACTTTTAAACTGTTCAGAGTAGCCTGGAATCTGCACAAAGGCCTTCACCAAAGAATCAATGAAAAGGTAAGAAATACATTTTTTCTTTTCGAATGGGAACACAAACATATAGTGGGGAGTTCTTAAATTGGACAGAGAAAGTTGAAATACACTTTAAAACTTCTTATAATGTTTACTTTAAACAGTCTTGGGAGTGTTACCAGAATTCCTATTGGTTCTTCTACGGCAGGGGTCTCAAAGTACCGGCCCGCAAGCCGGTACTATGTGGCCCGCAGCCACACGGTCACGGACCGCATGCCCGACTTGCGGGAGCAGCTACACGGTCTGCATCTCTGTCGCAGAGCTGCTCGTGTCAGCTCCGGCCGAATGATGGATCATTAGTAAGGTCTGCACTAGATGACAGTTGCCGCTTGTAACACGTGCATACATTAAAACTGGTACCGTATATAGTAGCGGCCAGTTTGTCTAGTGGCCCCCGACTAAATTGCCACAGGCAAGAGATTATATAAACTGAGAAACTTTCCAATTTAGTACAGTCACAAAGTTTTGGTGAGCATTTTACAGACAGATTTGACCTGTAGTGTCTTTTTAATATGAACGGTCCAAGACTCTAAAGAACTGAAGCACTAATGGCTATGCATGAAAATAAAGAATGTCACCATGGACTCAGGCAGTTGTAGGGATCACCTTTGCTAAATGTCTTTGTATGCAATCTAAACAGAAGAAACTTACATGGCAATGGGAACCAAGAACTGGTAGGAACTCCGGAAAATAACATAAGCCACGTAACACACCCAGATATTTGTAGTCGTGCTCATCAGAAAGAGAAGCCCAGCCTGCAAAGCGGTCACTGACCCGATGACCAATTCTGACCATAGACTCCAGCGGATCTTCACATAGCCTGCAGCAAAAGAGGTCATGGCTCCTGGAGACCAAGGACAAAGACATCACTGACACTGCTACTTCCTGTCCTAAGCATCATCTTTTTCTACAAAACTGACAAATAGGCTGCCATGGCTGACCTCCCCTTCAGAAGATGCTAGCTGCCTGGCTATTATGCTGGACAAGAATGCAGCAAGTGAAGTCAGGACACCTGATCTACTCTGCTGTCGAACTCTTTCACTGTCATATTTTCCTATTGTCCTCTCTCAAAAAGATAACCCGAAGGTCCATTTTAGGGCAAACTTTAAATGCAATAAAATTTAACAAATCAGCGTGCCATTAACCGACCTTTTGTGTTAAGATAGAATTATGGTATATTCGTATTCAGTGCCAGGGTGCCATACAGTAGTTCTCAGTCTGGGACTCCTGGCACCATACACAACTAAAAATTTTGCATCTCCCCAAAAGTATCAATGAAATCTAAAGTGTAAACAACACTAAGGGCTTAATGTAAGGTGGCCATACATTGTACGATTTTCATTCCAAAGGTTTAGTTTCTGCCACAAACCCTCGTTCAGTTATACCTAAATTCCCCCAGCAAGCAGTCAAATGTTGATTTCAGAAATCATTTGTTCGCCATGCTAACCACCTCTTTTTTGACAAACTACGGAAATATTGGTTTGACCTATCCAGAGAAAGTATTCGTTTGACGCAGGCAGCTTTCCTTTTGCGCATGTGTTGTGTTCTTGGGGAGATATTGGACAAACGAAAACCCCACTCGTTCATTGAATTTCGTTCGGTCAGACAAAGTTTCCAACCGGACCGTCCGAAAAATTTGTTCACATTAGAAAAAACTAAAATTGGTGCTGTACCATCAACTGTTCGATTTTCGTTGAAAAGATCGTTCAGGTTCGCTTTCCAAATGAAAATCTAACAATGTATGGCCAACGTTCCGCAAGGTGTATGCCCTTCACACGGCACTAGTGCACTTTGATGGCGCTGACCAGTATATAGGCTGTCCTAGATTTGTCAGCACCTTCTAGGGACTCTAGTGCCGTGTGAACAGCACACACCAGGCTAAACACGGGGTGGAAATTTTATAAGTGATGCGTAATACATATGATAACACTTATCATTCCCCCCACCTGTATACTTCAAGTTTAACCCCATAGCAATCCCTAAATGTAAAATGACTTTAATATGGAAATATAGATGTCCATAGCCTGGTCACCAAGTACTGTAAAATGGATCTATGATTTTTTTTTACAGTCTGTCTTCTAATGGGTTACCTATATAAGAGCTCAGTGTCAATACTAATCTCACCTGTGAAGTTGAGGGAGGTTGCCCCATTGTACCGAGAAACCTGTAACAGCTATAAAGACTAGAGGTAAGGCTGGGTTTGGTGCGTACTCAGTTCACCTGAGTTTGCCCAAGCCTGCTCTAAAAACACTTAGATCTCTTTAAAATGATCTACTGGCTCCTAAGCTGCACTGAGTTTTATTTTAATACGTCTTCCGATATGTACCATCTATTAGAGGTGCACCGAAATGAAAATGTAAAGAGATTGAGGACACAGAGTCCCCTGTTATAAAATCAACAGGAATCCTCAATACTGAGTGTTCCTGTTCATTCATAACATGAGGACAGAGTGTGTTTACTATAACCACAATCATGAATGAACAGAAGGTGATGTATATAATTTCCCATTCATTCATAATTGAGGATATAGTAAACATACCATTGTCAGGATCTAGAGCACCCCCAGGTGGCGATGGAGCCAGGTCCTGCAGTTCCTGTGCTCGCCTGCAGGTGTCTCCAGCAGCCAGGAACCAGACCACCGCTGGGTGGTGCTGGAAACCTGCAGCTCCAGTACTCACCTGCGGGTGTGCCCAGGCTGTGAGTGATCATCCCATTACCTGGTGCTTCCTGGGAGGGTATTTAGGCCCTCCCTGCAGTCAGGAAGCAGGCTCAGTATTGCATCGCCTGCACCTGACTGACGCCCATGTCATGTGCCTTGGAACCTGCACCCTGCTTCCTATCTGCAAACCTGTCACTGACCCGGCTTGTTACCTGACCACTCTTCTTGAATCCTGTTCCTGTACTGCCTGCCCTCCTGTTAACAACCCGGCTTGTTACCTGACCACTCTTCCTGTGTCCTGAGGCCTGCTATCTATCTGCAGTCCTGTTACCCCTCCTTGTTGCTGTTCCCCCTGGCTGTAGGTGTTTGGTCCAACCGTGGTTTTGTTACTTCACTGCTAAACCTGTGGGGGTTTGTAGGTTTGTTTGCCGTGTAACAAATAAACCTTGTGCATAACCTCATCCAGTGTGGTCATATTAATTTGGTCATCCTGCGTGGGTACCTGCATGTGGTGTGAGGACGCCTGTGCATGGTACCCTGACAACCATGTCTTCAATCAATCAGTGATCGCTGAGTGTTTGTACCTCGCTCCCCATCCTGACAGCTGTCACAGGAGGCTGGGCGGGGTGGTGTGAGAGGAGAGCTCAGCCTCCTGTGCCAGCAATGAAAGCTGTCTCCGCCCACACACCGCTCTCCCGAACTCTGACAGTAGGCTGAGCGGTGTGGGGAGGAGAGACGCTGGCCGATCACAGCGCTCGGCCTCCTGTGACAGTTTCTCTCCTCCCCGCTGGGACACAGAGCAGCGCCCAGCAGGGAGGAGAGAATAGAATGGATGCACCGCTATTTCGGCCAGAAAATGGCACTAGTAGTCATAATGCTGTATTTTCCAGATTCACTACTGCCTATAATATTTGAAGAACATTCGACCAGAAGAGAATATAACCTTAAGAACATTCAATTTTGCCCCATTCTCACAACAGCTGTTTAATTCACATTGAATATATGTACATGCAGTTTCACTGGTTAAATAGCTATGCAATATTTTTTATTAATAGACTCCTTAGTGTGCTTCGTAAATTTCTTACAGTAGTAATCCAGCATGAAACTCTGTCCCTTTACAGCAGCTTCCTGTAATGAAGACCAGTCACTGCTGCTTTCTGTCCTTGGGCAGGGTTACTGGTCCTGAATCCGCTCCCTCCTGTAGTTTTCTGGTAGCCTGCAGTGGGTGGGGCCTGCTAGGTCCCTCCCACAGCTCTGATCTTTGCACAAATTATGTGCAGCACAGTGATGATGTCACTGCTACTTTTATTGTAATATCTGGATATGCAAAGGTTTTTGGCACACAAAGTGGATTTATATCCTCTGTGGCTATTGAGGAATAGATTTTTATGAAAGCTTTTGTGCCCAGAGTTCAGCTTCAATAACAATCTGGCTAGCTGATTAATCATGTTGTAGAACCCAACCAGAAACTTACCAAGAAGTGTTGAAGCAGCATCGACACCTCCATTATATACCCTACGGTTATCTCTGGTAGGGTAAATTTCATTCCACAGGATCTGCACATAGTACAGCATAAGGTAGTAGCCGGCCGAGTTAAAAATCCACCATAGACACCAGACACGTAATTGGGGATGACGGAAAGTTCCCTTGAGCTCAGTGAGCATACGAATGAACACAGAGTCTCTCCATCCAGGACACCAGCCACCAGCCTTGCCTTCAGGATTCATCTTCTGCAGCTCAGAATGGTTGATTCCATTCTCGTGTTTAGAAACATTTTTATTGAAGAAAAGGCTCCTCTTGGGGCGTTTGAGAAGCAAGGTGAGGAGGAGTCCAAATATCATGAAGCCAAGAGAAATATAGTTCAGAGTCTGAAACGGGACACCACCCAACGTGACGCAAAGCTGTCCCAGCACAGCACTGATGAAGACCCCTAGGAGTACAGAAGACCGGGAGTACCCAGCTGCCCTTTGATACCTGACAGGGGAGACCAATGAGAAGATGTATGAAGAGTAGGCAACACGTGCTGCCATGGTGATGCCGTAAAAGAACTCCATGAACTGCATGGCGATGACATCAGTACCAAAGATAAGCAGCAACCAAACCGCGATGTGACTGAGGCTTTGCAGGATCAACACTGGCTTATATCGCAGGTAATCGGTCAGCAGGAAAATTGGCACCAACACGACCATGTATGAGTAACTCAGCACTGGGGTAATGTCATTGGTAACCTATTAGAACAAAATGAAAAAAATGAGGTGAAAAATATGGAAGGATATGGAAAACAAAGAGGAATAGAAGGAGTAGATTACAAACTCTTTAAAGCCCAGCTCAAGCCAAAACTCTCTAGTGTGGAGAAGGGTTAGAGCCTCTGTTAAATGTTGCTCACTTTCTGTCGCAGTGACACCGTATCACATACAGGCACACAGGGTGTCACTAGGACAGGAACTAAGAGAGATCGCCCTAATGGAGGCACAGACATTAAGAAAACCCTGGTAGAGGTTGTAACCCCCCGCCTCTCTAGCCTTTAAAAAATATTTTTTTTCTTTAACCGCCTCCCTTAACCGGCCGGCTGTTTTACTATAATGGCCGGCCGCTTCCTGGATGTAACAAGTCGTGTGTATATATGGCCTGTTAGCCCCGCCTTGTTTTGAAAACAACCAAAATTGAAAAACAAAAAAACTGGCTGCTTCCAATTCCTGAGACTGCAAGAGAGTCTGTACCTGAGAGGAGGAAATCACTGGGAGGTGTTCGGCATCAGGTGCTTCCTCTACCTGGTTCGAATTAGAGGAACAGTGCATACAGACCCTGGTGGGTCTCTGCTAAAAGGTGAGGTGCATTCCAGAAGATTTCTCTGTTGATGGTCACAGGAGACTAAGTTTATTCTACATTTATCTTCTATTTACTTAATGGACTATTGAAGATCCAGGATCATGGACATTTTTTAACCATTATTTTCACTGGAGTGCAAGTTACACACATGCGTTTTTCTAGTTGGTATTCTTTGCACATTGCATCACATTGATTCACAGGTAATATTTAGTGCATTTGATTTTTCATCATGGATATTTTGTAGCAATTACATTTACACTAAGGTGCATGTTATATACATGCGTTTCTTTTTTGTTTTGCACTTTTTATACATAGTATCACATTACTCCAACGTCAGTATCTACTATATCTGACACTTTGCAGCGCAGCTTTTACCATTAATTTCAAAGTTTAAAAAACAGGCAGCGATGCCCGTTTACATACAAGCGATCCGCCGGCTTGCTTGTATGGGATGCCGATCGGAGAGCCTCCCCCGCTGGTTCCAGGCTCCTCTGTGCCCGATGCAGGCCCGGGACCAGCATGGTGGCTCTCTGACAGGCGATCAGAGGGAGTTTGGTACACGATCTCCCTTCAATCCCCTCTCCGGTGTCAGAATGCGGAAGTGATATATGTTACATCACTTCCGCATTCGTGTGTCATTCTCCAGCTTCAGAAGCTGATGAAGCAGATCTTCCAAACACTCATTGATGAATTTACAAATCACATGGTGCTTTTTGAACTGGCCATACAGTAGATCTCGCCCTCTATAAGTACACAAAGCGTGTCAATGTCATTATATTGTGCATTACATTTACTAGATTTTGCCTGCAGCAGTGCTGTGTGTGAAATCGTACTCTGAACGATCCCACAAGATGGAATGTGGAAGAATCACCTTCACTTTTCTTCTCAGAGAGGTGACCTGGGTTCCGGTTTCCGTAAAAGTAATTATTTGTAGCACAAATTCATGAAACAATTTTTTTACAGAGTTGCAGATACACATCACACGAGGTTGGGAAAAGGAATGCAGGAGACATGAAGCCAGAGAAAACAGTAAATGAGCTTATGCTGTGTCATAAATACATAGCAAAGCAAAATGTCACCGAACCCTAACTGTTAACCTCACACTATGACCTAACTCTCCTCCTACCTGAACCATTGCACTTTAACCCCTAAAATAAACACTTCGCTCTTAACCTGCACCCCAACACGTAAAAGGGAAATCCCCCCCTTTTTGAAAAAATAATAAATACACAAGAAACAAACAATGTGCATTTATTATTCTTTGGCTTTGGAGCCAGTAAAGCATTGCAACCGCAATCAGTGGATCGAAGGTGTGATGCTCTGCATCCTGCAGACTCTTTTTTGTAGCATGGACAGGAAGAAGAATGAATGGACTACAACTGCAGTGACGTCACGGCACTTGCATTTCGTTGAGAACTGCAAGCCCATTTGCTGCGGTGGCTGATGGAGCTTGTCGTTTCTCCAGTCACAGATCCTGTCAGAGGATGAAGTGGCTGTGTAGGGGAAGCCATGCACAGCCGCACCAAGTTAAAAAAAAATACAGCAGCCTGTGGGGAGAAGAACCATGCAATTCACGCAAGTAGGGGGGTTTGTAGGAGATTGTCATGTGACCAGTCTTGGGTTTAACATGAAACATGGTGTCAAAGGTAAACTCAGCCTGTGAGTATCTGGGGGAAGATAAGATTGGCTAGAGGGTTGCAGTCTGACCCTGTTCAATCTTGCTGCCTATATATTGATGTAACATGAAACAGTCGGAAAGGGTAACAGCCTTTAAACCTTAATCCAAGCTATAAAATGAACCTTTCACATGTCCCTAAATCCTCAAACTCTTAAACACAGGGAAACAAGGTTTGTTTTTTTAGAATCCTTAAACATTGCATCCCTGTATTTCTCAAACCCAACAATACGATGATACAGAAGCTTGTAAACCCAAAAGACCCAACACCCAGATACAAGTGAGGAAACTTTATCCAGTATAGTGAAGAATGCAAAAGCCAGTATAACGTGCAGATACTACAACCTCCCAACAAAAGGATGGCCCAAGATTCGAAGGTGACTAGTGATGAGCCTGGGCTTGGTGCAAACCTAGTTCGACTGAGTTCACCCAAGTCTGTTCAAAACTGTGACTGCCACTGAAATCAGTTGTGGAGACACACATTGCTTGCCCCACAGCTACACGTCACAAAGGGACAGGAAATGCCCCCTGCCGAACCTGCTGCCACTAATTGGGCCAGGAGGAGGGGGGTGACATTTCTGTGGGCTTGGGCGAACTCAGGGGAAATGGGTTTGCACCAAGCCCAGGCTCATCTCTAGTCAGGAAGCCATAGTCTTCCCACAATGTAAGGAAAAGGGAAACTCTTTCAAGGACAGTGAGGTGTACACTTTGAAAGGGAGGACAACTTGATCACAAGAGACAGGAAACAAGCCATTTATGTCAAAATGTAGGAACCAAACCTTGTCAAAATATCTGAACAATCTGACTGGATGCAGGCATTGTTCAGATGTTTTGACAGCCAGTGGGGCCGACTAGCAAGATACTAAAGCTTGGCCCAGTGGGAGATTCCTCCATCCACACAGTTTAGCATAGATGGAGGAATCTGTTGCACTTTTCCATCTGACCATAGAAAATCTGCAGATAATCTATAAGTGTATGGCCAGCTTTAGACTTCTTGGCACCATAGGGTTGGATTATGTAGTTAAAGGAGGGTGGTTCCACAAACTTTCACATCTCCAATCCTGTTCTTGGACAGCCAACATCTGGTTGACCCATTCCATTGTGACTGGATTATGACAAAGTTTCCTGTGTGGCTATGAATTTCATAGTATGTTCCTGACACTCATTAAAGGCCATCTCCAGGGAAAAAAAAAAAAACTCCTCTTGGAGTGGAGCTGCCATTGCACTACAATGATAAATTACTTGTTTAGGTCTAGGGTACCTAGTTAAAAGCAGTTTTACTTACCTGATGCCTACTTCCCCAGAGGTCAGTGCTCTCCTTGTCTCCCCTACCCTCCAGCTTGGCAGCTGTGGGGCTTTGGGCCTTGCAAAAACACGTCAGTGAATATCTGTTTGCTGTTTTTATGACGCAACAATACAAAGTTAACATTTTAGAGGATCCCATGGAGTGCCGGTTTCTCCATTTTTGCATTTGCTCTGGGTCAAGCAGGGACCTTCACCAACCACCGCAGTTGCTTAGGAAGATTTGGCTGAGCGACTATTTTTTTTGTCTGTGAGGTTGGAGTCTGCATTGTACTTGTCAGCATGCCTGTGAGCGCTGGAGCATAGGAGGAGGAAGAGACTGTGGGTTCTGATCTTGTAGCCTAGAGGGATCAGGTATGTAAACCTACGGGTACCCTAGACCTAAGTGTTTAACCCCTGCAGTACACAAACATCCCCACTGCAAGGGGAGGGGTTATTTTCCCAGAATTCAGCTTTAAAACTACAGAATCTGTGAAACATCTTCAAGAATACCACTCCAGTTGAACGTGCTATGGATCAGCGATTATTTTACAGGTACATGAACGTCTGGCACCATATTCCATTCCTGTAATACACAACAATCTCTAAGACGTTAATAAGCTTGTGACTAGATGACTGACTGGTATAAAAGAATGGAGAAAGGTCACAGTTCACATGATTTCACAGCAGTTTGCTGCTTATAACATTCCTCAGCTAGTAAATCATGTGTGAAAATCCTTCTGTACCTCAAACATTCGGATTACAGACCATGGAATGACTGCTAGGAAAGGTAGACTAGAAGCACATTTTATAACAGGAGGCATTCCCATCCAATACTAATAAATAGGGATGCACCGATACAGGTATTTTGGTATCGAGTACCGATATTTGTTTTGCGGTACTCGCCAATACCGGAAGTGCAATTAAGGAAGCCAGATGGCGTGTAAAGACTCGCCACCCGGCTTCCCGATTAGCAGGGAAGCTGTCCCTATGCTTCTCGTCACTATTATTACATAGTATTTTTATAGCGCCAACAGTTTGCGCAGAGCTTTACAATATAAGGAAGACATTACAATCACAATACAATTCAAGACAAGATGGTAAGTAGGGCCCTGCCCCTGAGGGCTTACAATCTAAAAAGAGGAGGGGGGAAGTGATACTTGAGGAGGTAACTGTGTGGGGAAGAATTGTTTGACGAGAAAGCATGGAGCCGGCTTTCTGGCCAATCAGGAAGCCAGCGCCGTGTAATGACACGGTGCCCGGCTTCCTGATTGGCGTGGAAGCCGACTCCACACTCCCTCGTCATGAGGTGATTACATGGCGCCCGGCTTCCTGATTAGCCAGCTTCCCGACCAATCAGGAAGCCGGGGCAGCGAGTAATGACTTGCTGCCCGGCCTCCCAATACCCGAAGGATCGGGCTAGGCATCGGAGCATTTGGGCGAGTACGAGTACTCGCCAAAATACTCGGCACCGATACCGATACTAGTATCAGTGCATCCCTACTAAAAAGCCAGAGAGCAAAGTGCAGCCATCCACAGCAAAATATTTTTAAAAGATCTATGGGGTAATCTTTTTCCCCCCCTATAGTTCTCTTTAGGGTCACGGGAGGACATATACAAAAGTCCTTCCGTGACCCAAAACTCAGTATATAGCGGGCTATTGCCCATTATATGCTGAGAGCGCCGCAGGCAGGATGGATCCCAACAATACTATCGAGATCCACCCCGCTAGTTGATTGGCAGTGGGCTCTTTCTATCTTGAGGCGGAGCCAGCTATGCCCCCCACCTCTGTCTGTCCTTCCAGTCAGCACTCGAGGAAGGGAGACTGGGGAGGGGGGAAATCCCTGGGGGGAGCTGTGACACAGTCACCACTCTCTGCAGGGAGATGATCGGGATCGAGTGAGCGAGCGGCGGTATGTTTTCGCTCACTTACCGATCAATAGAGCCGGCGTGTGACAGTTCCAATGTCACACGTCGGCTCTAACTATGAGGATGAGTGTAAATCACTCTCCCCATAATTCTCCTTTACACTAATAAACGTAAGATGATTTCAAATCAGCATGCTGAGGAGATTTTTAGTGAAAGGGGGGTAGAGATCTACTTTAACGTAATTAATGAAACGCAACAGAGCGACAAAGTGTTAACAGGCCCTTAGTCAATGGAAAGACTAGTATGTGATTCAGCTGACCAACTTTCACCAGGAATAGCTTTAGCCCTGATATAGGCAGCAAATCAGCACAGTCCGAAGTGTTAAGCAGGCCCCTAAATGTGAGAAGGGAGGTCAGATCTGGGACCCATTACAGGCATGGCTCTAGCAGCTGGGAACACCTACTGTTAGCCAGAATTCATGAGTGGAATACATTGGCTACTACCGCTGTTGAAAAAAAACTTGTGGCTTATCTGGTTTCAAATTCAGGTCACAGACCCAAATCGAGCATGCAGCAAATAATGCTAGCGTGAAGTTAATGCCTTGTCTGCATGCTTCCAACTCATCATCAATGTAGTGAAGGCAGAGGATTGACATGATACCCAGCCTACTAGGCCAAGTCTTTTCTGAATATTGCCAATAAGCCATAATAGGTTTCTTTTATGAAAAACTACAGGCAGGCGTTTATGGAAAAAGGAAAGATAGGAGAAATATGTGATGGTAGATGTTAAAATAGAATGTTATCCCTATTACTCTAATCGGAAGTGCCTGCTGAGTTTCAACACTGTCCGCTGTCTGTAGAAAGGTTCAGAGCACTTCCCCTTTCTACTCAAAAAGGGTCTTTTGATATAATTTGAACCAGAAATGAGAGTGCGTAGCAAAAAAAGAATCTGAATATTTTAAATTGTCCTATCACAACAACAAAGGGTAAAGTGGAACTTAAAATGAATGTAAAGAAAATTATGACCAGGCAGGAAGAGACAGATGATGGAGTGTAGTTATAAACAATTTGCAGAGCCATTCGTCCGGCAAAAAAAAATCGGACAAAAATTAACATTCTTAGTATATTTTTCGAACCGAATGCGGTATTAGAAAAAGATCACATTATGGCACCTAGATGGCGCTGTGGAGTATTGGAAAAAATACTTCTTTCCTGTGCTCCATCGAGTGGCCATAATGTGCTATTTTCCTTATATTACACTCGATTTAAAAAGAAAATATCTTAAGAATGTTCGTTTTTTGCCTTCATTCGTACACAACAAATGTTCAAAGTTGAGCAGGATGAATGATGAGTGAATTATCTATAAATACTGTTCCGTGTCTCTTCTGCACTAAAGGACTCTTGCCTGCCTTTTCACCTTCTTATGGACAGTGTACACAGAGCTACGCATGTGCAGTTTATAATGGTATGAGTGAACCCCGGCGCATGCGCAGGAGTAACGTCATCCTGGCATGGCCAATTAAGATGGCTGAAGATCCTGAACCTGGAAGCAGACCAGGCGGAGGTGTTGGCGCCAACAAGTGACCTTGCATTGCTGGAAGAGAGGCGAGCATAGTTCCACTTTAATAATGTTAAAATATACGGTATACACCACCTCATACTCTTATACAAACCTCTCATGCAGTGATATCTGCTTTGATAACATACTTATAAGCTGTGAAGTACCTGCTCTTTGGTAAAATTCCTTTCCAGGCTCAGTAGGTATGGTGTGATAAAGCTTTCTCCAGGACGCAGCTGGTTCATGAAGCCATAGAAGCAGAGATAACACAGCAGACACTTCCATTGCTGGTCATCACCAGGTAAAGTCGAATGACCTTCCGACGGAGACTGTGGGTCATCTACCGGAGACTGCTGCTCTTCCTCATTTGGAGGCTCAAGCTTTTCATTCCTTTCACTGTCTGACGCCATCTACACATTCGACCTTGTGACAAAGAGAAACACACATCAAAAACACGATTCTTATTTTGGTTGTTGCATACTGCGATATCCTAATTGACTTATACTGACTACTTATGTTTTTACTTTTAAACACCGGTTTAAAATGTTTTTAAAAACTTTACTTTAATTGCTATCACATCGGGGGGGGGGGGGGGGGCTTACAAGTCCCCCCATGTGATAGTATATTGACGGTGACAAGTACTCTTTAAGGTGATACTGGACCTCTAGTATCACGGTTACATTAGAAATAAGCTATTGAAGTGCAGATCCCACTTCAATTACTTATTGGTGGGCTTCAGAAGCCCAGCACTGACAGCTATGGGACCGGAAATGATGTACAGTACAGTAATCTGCATCGCTCCCAGTCCCGTAGTGCAGGGAGGAGATCAATGAACGGAGGTTCGCCGATCACCTCCCAAGCTTCCCCCCCGACACCAAAGAAGCTGGTCCCAGGCCCGCAGGAGGGGCAGCACAGAGCCCGGGAAACACAGTGGGTGTGTCGGGGGGGAGGGGGGTGTAGAAGCGATCTGGCAGCAGCTGAGCCGCCAGAATCGCTTCTACTGTAAAGCAAATAGTCGGCTTTACAAGTTTAAAACAAACAGAGCCCCGGCAGCTTTTCTGTTTAAACGGGCCCGATGCCAGTGATGTACTATGGACGTCACTGGTCGTTAAGGGGTTAAAGAAGAACGCCAGGGAAAAATGTTTTTTGTCTACGGTTAAAAATAAAAATAGGTTATACTCACCCAATCCTTGGAGTCAGCTGGCTGTTATACTGGCCCTTCCAGCGTCTCTCCCCCTCTGCTGCAAGGGTCTGAGGTCCTATAAATCACCGTGCTCTCTATACAGGGTATAGAACGCGAGGATGGCGAGGGACATACTATTGCTGCAGCAGAGAAGAAGGCAGACCGGAAGGAGTGCTGTGACAACCGGCAAGATCTGAGGTTTGACTGAGTATATTTTTGTTATTTTTGATCCTAGGCATAAATGAGCACTTAACCCTTGCAGTGCGGGGGGGTAGTCCCACTGCAAGGGTTTAAGAATTGTTGGGGGGATTGGTTACTATGGCCAACGGCTACAGTTATGATACATCCCCCCCACAGAATTGTTTTCTCTGAATGTAGCTAGACACATATATAAAACACAGTGTGACAGATACTATTTAATATTTTGAAATGCATTTACATGTGTTTTGGGTCCTTACTGGAACACATGCGTCCATTACTGACCAGGCCAGTGTGATGAAATCAAACTGTGTCAGAGTTCAGGAGTCTCCGGATTGGTCTATTCTTGTCTAGAGAACCGATATCTAACTGATAACAGGACACATTGGGCAATAACAAACAAACAATCTGTGCTTTACAAGCAGAGAGCGGCTCCCGTTCACACCAATGAACTGCGGTCAAACGTGCGTTTTTACCACAAAGCCATAGAACATGCTGAAAAGTACCCCAACACATGGATGTGGACCCTCTGTTCACTGAGGTGGGTTGCATGTCTTTATTTATTGTACATTGCGTGGTATTGGCTGTCCGTCCAGAAAAAGGGGCTACACAAATGACTGCATGCACTAATGTGAACAAGCTCTGATGGCACAGAACTGGCCAGAAATTGGGTCTGGTATATAATGCAAATTAGGATGACCTCTCCCCTATAGGTGACACACAGTCCGATTCCTTCCTGTGTCCCCCATGTACTGTGACCCCTTCTATTTCCTGTGTCATATGCACCCACCAGCTATCTCCATAGCATCGTCCTCCTACCATGCGGTGTCTGCACTCACCGTACACCTTCTACACTGTATGACAGTCGCTGATCGCCCCATTGTCACCCGTCTATACAATGTCATGGTCATTATCCGCTCCCCCTCTGCTCACAGTAATCCCCCGCTGTGCCCCGGTCACCACACTCACATCACACAATGTACTCACTTCTAGTCCTCTCTGTCACAAACACGCTTCCACACTGCGCTTTCCCTCCCTGTTCCAGTCCGCTGCGCGCTGAGACTACATTTCCCGCGATCCTTTGCGGAACTACATTTCCCGGCGTCGATGCGGGAGATCAAACCAACTTTACTGACAGCCTGAGAGTGCGCACAGACACGTGTGCAGTGATGCGAGCAGTGTGTGTGCGGGCACATATGTATTATGTAGTGGGCATGGGGGTGGAGCTGTGTTTCTTGGTGGTAGTATGTGGCTGTGCAGTGCATAAGAAGTGCTGACAGCGAGTTTTTAACAGACACGTTATTCTGTGAAAGTGAAACTCCACATGGCAAAAAACTTTTTTTTTAACATACAAATATACATGGCTTTGGATTTGTCATCCTGTAATACTAATTCCCTTTGCACCTCAGTGCCATCCAGTGGCCAAAATGTGGAATTACATAAGACATAAGATATGGTAATTGGGAGTGGGATAGAAATTATAGAGATTCAATACCCAGATAGCAAGCAATTGAGCTGCAAGTTTGATAATGACTTGCGAAACTATTGCAGACTTGCCAAGCTTCACAATTTTGTTGCACAATTACAGCAAGTCTGCATTGCAAGTCTCCAGATTAACGTGCTTTGCAAAAGTGCTGTACACTTGCAGAGCTTTGCTAAGACCTGCCGGACTCTTGCTGTAGACTTGCCAAGCAAATTTGCTACAAATTCAAAAAGTGTCAACTACAACTTGCCAGGAATGTGTGCAGCAATCGGCCGGATTTACTCTCCCTGCCGCCCCAAGGCCAGGTTCCGCAAGGGGTTTAACACCGCGGATGTCAACTGGTTAAAAAAAAAAATTTCATCAATTACATTTTTTTTCCACCTAACTTTATTGCTATCACACAGGAGATAACAATGCCCTGTGCGATAGCAATTGGAGGTGACAGGTTCTCTTTATTGACCCTGTCACTTCCAATACAGGAGTTCTAGCCCAGCACTGTGCTGGAACTCCTGTGACAGGTGAGAGAGGAAGAGCACAGCTCTCCCCTCTCACTGTATACACGGAGCGGCAGGGTTAGTGCAGTGAGGAGAGACTCAGACCGGCCGGCTGCAGACTTTTTTTTCATCTCGGCGATATCGCTACCTCACTCACAATGAGCTAACGAACAATCGGCTACCTCACTCTATATTTAGTCCTGCTTATACAAAGCAGGACTAAATGTAGAGAGGGCAACCTACCGCCCGACTCCCGCAACTTCCCACAAGGACACCGCTGCCACTCCTCTGCGCCCTGCCGCCCCGAGGCCAGGCCTCGGTGGCCTTGTGGGAAATGCGGGCCTGCAGCAAGTTATCAAGAATTACAATGTAACCCTGCCACAAGTTTCTGGGAAGTTATCCTTGCTATCTGGGTATAGAAATACATCATTATGTTTAGTTTTTGTCTATGGATATCTTTCAAAGATGTATTAATGAACAGAGAGTTGCATTCATTTGAGTTTTTGATGTCTGTCTGGAGTCCATTTTTAACATTGCTGCTTCCTGGGTCAGCTCCATACCTCCTGGATGCAGGTGGTGGTGCTGATGCATGATCCAATGAGGAGACCTAAAGGTGACATACAATGAAGGGAATTTATCAAACCCGGAGCAGACAAAATCTGGAGCAGTTGCACTTAGTAACCAATCAGCTTCTCTCTTCAGTTTGTTCATCTAAGGTTTGAAAATGAAAAAGAGAAGCTGATTGGTTGTCATGGGCAAATGCTCCAGACTTTGCTCCAGTTTTGATAGATTCCCCCCAATGTGCAATGATAAACCAGGAAGATGGATTGATTAATCAGGAGCTATGTGTGTCGCACGTCTCCTGTGCAGTGTGGACAATGTGTGTAAATCACAAGATCGGCTGAACAGAATAACACATCTTTTGGCTAGTAAACCAGTCAATGTATTTGATTTTTAAAGCTGAACTCCAAGTACTCCATGTAGGTGTGAAGGGCACAGATTAATGCAACTAATTTGTTCATTAATATATCATGACGTGTATATTTTTTTAAATGCAAGCCGTGTAAGTACGTGAATTTTACTTGGTATAAGCCTCTTGCAGTCTACTGTACAGTTTGTGTACCCGGACTGAGAGCAGGAGAAGTAGCAGAAGAACCAGTTAGATGTGCTGCATTGCAAACAACATGCTGATAGAAGAGGAGAGCAGAGTGACAGAGATGAGTTAACCAGTGTGCTGCTTCTCCTTTCACTGTCCAGGCACAGGGTGGATGTGGTGAGGAGATCTGTGTTACTGCAGCTGAGAAAGATCAGGTCTCCTCCCCTGCTAGACAGGGCTGTTATGTGTGGCAAAGCAGTGTACAATACAGGTCTGGATGTACAGAGGTAGACATTCTTTGAGAGGTAGACGGCAACTCTTATCTATGTATGTCAATCTGTGTATTAAGCTGTTTGCCTGGATATCTGCTTTAAAGGAGAACTATGGGGTCAGTGTTTTTCCCCATAGTTTTCTTAAGGGTCACGAGAGGACACAAACTAGCGTCCTCCCATTACCCTAAGCTCAGTATATAGCGAGCTATCTCGCGGTTTACTGAGACCGGCACAGCCAGGATGTATCCCAACAATGCTGTCGAGATCCACCCAGATTAAAGACCGGGGTGTTAAACCCCCTTCCTGGCCAGGCCATTACTCACTAATCAGCGCTGCGTTACTTTGACTGACATTATGAAATGAATTGATATCATGTTTGTGGGGCACACAGAGCTTTGTGTTGGTGTATCTAATCACCACTGAGGGTTTTTGTTATTTTTTTTACTTTATAAGCAAAAAACTACCTGAAAAATATATTAAACAAAACAAACTGTTCCCCCTACATTATTATATGAAACATTTATTATTACCCAATTTTTTTCCAGTAAAATATAAAAGACGGGGTCACATCAGGTAAAAATAGACACCAAACATGTCAAGCCTTAAAATTGCATGTGACCGCGAAATCGCAAAAAACTACCATACCCAAAATTGGCCATAGGCGACACTTAAAAAGCTTTTAATGTTTGTGTT